CGGGGTAATGAGACCTTCCCGAGGGGGTGCACACTGCCCATCCCCTCGTCAGCTGTTCGCTGAGAGCACAGTCTCAGAACGTGTACAAGACGGAGACTGCCTTCAGCAGGGGCTTGACCGCATTCCTCCACCCAGAGAGGGGCTGTGTATCAGAAGCTCGCCTGGATCAGGGACTCCTCCCCAGCCCCCTTGCCTGGGGGAGTAGGAGGGTGAGTGGATGTAGGAGGAGAGAGAGGGCCAGGCAGGGATACTCAAGTAACATGCTCCGTTCTGGGAAGGGACAGAAGTGCTATTCCTCCTCCAGACCTCAGAATCCCAGCACAGAGGATGAGCCCCCCCACCCCCCCATTCCCTTTCATGACCCTATAAGACAACCCATTGGTTAAAAGGCTGATTGAATGCATGTGAATTCCTAATCTTGGAGGGATTGCGCTGGGAACTCCCCCAATCTTAGGTAGCTATCAGGATGTGTGAGGACGTTCAGCTCCCCTGAGCTGATTGATACTTAGAAAAAGCCAGCACTTTGGGTATGAAACCGTGCTTGGTGCCTTCTTCCCAGTTGTCTGGGAGTCTAGCCGGGATCACCAGGTGAGGCAAATGCAGTTGAAAGTGATAGATTTATGGAATCTTGCTTAAAAGGCTGCAGCCTTCTGATGGCTTAAGTCATCCGAAGCCATTACAAATGTTGGATGATCAAGAAACTGCCGTTTTATTTCTAAAAGTCTTTGATCAGGGTGAATAACCTGTGGTTGGAAAATTTGCCACTCCTTCCTTGGTGAAGCAGAATGTTTCCTTGAAGCATTTTATCCTCCTCCGTATCTACCCTGCTGTGGCCTCTTCCACTCAGTGTCTCCAGGCTCGCTTCTCTAAATCTGTGCCCGCTCTCTGCAGCCGTGCCTTGAAGGAGGTGCACTGCTCAAGTCGCAGACCCAATTCTTGTCCACTGCAAAGCCCTTCACCCACCCATCCTGCACTGTGTTTCCTTACAGTGTCTGGGCTCAGACACAAGGTTTGACAATGTATCAAATTCACTTTGAGATAGCAGGGGATTAGCAGCTGAAACAAGATCATTATGGCAAAACCTTGGACAAATTTCTGAAGCTCTGAAGGAGTCTATGGAACAGATAAAGTTATGACCCGTGTTGTTAATCATATGCAAACAGATTTGCTGCATTTTCCCATAAAACAGTTGCACTGCAGGGAAATGAGGAACATGCATTAATTCATTGCTTAGAGCCCTGTTAGTTTAGAATCCCAGTTTGTTGGCTTTTTCAGTGCAGGTCTCTGTAAATTGGTTAGGCAGACCTTGTTATCTTGTATCCTAAGTAAGGCAAAGCTATTGTTATTGACTACAGCAAGGACCCATAATTTCTGTGGAAAAAAAAGAAAAAGAAAAAGAAAAATGAAGAAAAAGTTGTCCGAAGATGCCTGCCTTTGCTAGGACAGTAGCAGCCCTTTTGAGCTGTAGGCATTTAGCGACAAGGACAAGGAACCTTTTCTTGGGGACCATTTGGACGACTGAAGATTCACACAGTGAAACAAAGGACTAACAACAAAGGATGGTGCTGGAAGCAGGTGCAGGAATTAGAGCTGGGAAAAAAACAGACAAAAATCCCTTTTCTAATGGAGCTAACACTGTTGGGATAAAAATGGCTCACTCTGTCTTGGGCCCTGTTCTAAGCACTTCACATATTATTAACGCGTTTGACTCACATGTCTTTTAGGAGCAGGCATTTTTCATCCCTATTTGTGAAACTAAGGTGCTGGGAAATCAAGCAACTTGCCCAAGGTTACACAACCAGTAAATGGCAACTTGTTTTGTTTTGGTTTTTTGTTTGTTTTTTAACCCGAGGTTTATTAGTGCATCTCAAACTTTAAAGTTCATATGATTGATCCAGGGTATCTGTTTTTTTTTGTTTGTTTGTTTGTTTGTTTTTAAAGATTTTATTTATTTATTTGACAGAGAGAAATCACAAGTAAGCAGAGAGGCAGGCAGAGAGAGAGGAGGAAGCAGGCTCCCTGCTGAGCAGAAAGCCCGATGTGGGGCTCGAACCCAGGACCTGGGATCATGACCTGAGCTGAAGGCAGCGGCTTAACCCACTGAGCCACCCAGGCGCCCCCAGGGTATCTGGTTTAAAAGCAGATTCTGGTCCAGTAGGTCGGGCTTGGGGACCCTGGGATTTGGCACTTCTGACAAGTCCCCAAGTGACACTGCACTGCTTGGCTGTGGGTCACATTTGGAGTGGCGAGGCTCTGGATGATTATGGGCATGCTGGATCTCCTGAAAACTCAGGTCATTGGAGATAATCTCTCTTTCCTTTCTCCTTCCTTTTGTCTCTTTATGGTTCTCCTAGCCTCTGCTCAATTTGTTGAAGTGATGAAAGCCCTTTCAAGCTAATTCAGAAGAAAGGCAGGGATAGATTTAAGGATATGGAGCTCATAAAATGCAAGGATAGCAGCCACATTACATCAGCCTTCTTGGGGCCTAGAGCTCCAGCAAGATCAAGCCCTCAGCCCCACTGAGTCCTCTCACTTCGTGTCCCCTTGCGGGTTCTGCCCCTGCTCCGTTCCACTTGCCTGTGTTTCCAACATGGCTGCCACCCAGAAGTCCACAGGCTCCTTCAACCCCAGGGCCCACAACAACCATTATATACTATGTTTCTTAGTTTAAATTCTTGAAGGAAGAATCTGATTGATTGCACTGGCAGTCAGCTGTGGATGGGGAAATTAAGCAGGATGATGATGGGCAAATTATGTGACTTATTGAATATTATATACAAGACCAAGAATTCATTCCTGGAGGGCCAGACTGCTTACTTTGTGGACTCAGAAAGAAATGGATTATCCATTTATTTACTAGGCGCTAACTAGCTGCCAGGCAGTCTACCAAGTGATGGGGATATAGAGATAGAAGATACATTTTAAGGAATTTAGGTTCTAATGGGAGAGTTCTTCAGTAGTGGCAGACTGGCTTATAGCAGATCAAAGTCTGCCTTCTGAGAGCAATTAGAAAGTAGAAAAAAAGAAATGTAGATTTCAGTTGTACCAATTACACACTTATTTATCATAAATACATTTGTATTGCACAAATATATATATTTCAGCTATCCTAATTTGTCTCTGAAGGACTATCTAAATAGAGCATAGGGAAGAGTAGTTGGTGACCCCAATTGTTGGAGACACTTAACTCTTTGAGAAATTCCGTCATACTTAAGCAGTTAAGAGAAGCTATGCAGAAAGTGTCAGTCAGGATGCCTGAGAGGCAAGCAGAACTTTTGGCAGTTTTAACAATTGGAAGGGCCCTGGTTGATACTCTAGGCTTCTCACTGAGGATCCCTTAAGTAAGGGCAAGCCAGAGATAGTCTAGACTATATAAAACTGAAACCCAGACTCTAGGCAGTTAAAATCCTGATTGGATTAGATGTTCTCTCTAATTTTACCAATTACCAGGAAAATTTTTAAAAAGTGTTTAAGATTTTATTTTTAAGTAAAAAATGTCTAAGATCTTATTTTTAAGTAAGCTTTACACCCAATGTGGGGCTTGAACTCACAACCCTGAGATCAAGAGTTGCACACTCTACCCTCTGAGCCTGCCAGAGACCCCGGAAGATAAAATCTTGCTTAGTTTTCTAAAGTTTTCTATATAAAATGTCTGGCATTCAACTAAAAGAGAGTGCTAAGATACAGCAAGGGACATGATCAAAAGCAAAGGTAGATAACGGAAGCAGGTCTACGGGTGATGCAGATATGAAAGTTATCAGGCACATGCATTAAAGTAATGTGATTAATATGGTTGCAAAATTAGGTGACAAGCTGGAGAAATTTGTCGGGAGCTGGGATTTATAAACATGAATAAATTAATTAAATATAAAAATGAATTAATAGATGATTTTATCACATGGGAAGACTGGCGATCTGCAAGATGGGTCAATAAGAAATACCCAGTATAAGGCCTAGAGAAGTAAAAAGATGAAAATTCAGATTGAAATTCATGACAATATAATACAAAAGTTTTTGGGAGGGACAGTAAATAGAGTTTCAGACGATCTCTGCCATAGGCCTTACCTCTCTGATTCAATCTCCATTCCAACCTCCTTTGTCTTTCTATTCAGGTGCTAGATCTTCTTCTCTAGAACTCTCTAGTGTGGTAGCCACAGGCCTTTTTATTTTAATTAAAATAAAATTAAAAATTCAATTCCTCAGGCCCATGTGGACCAGCCACACTGCACATTCTCAATTAGCCACGGGCGGCCATTTCCTTCATCCTGGAAAGTTCTATCGGACAGTGATCTCATTCCATCACATTTTGCTTTTTTTGGTCAGCTTAATTTTTTTACCCACGATTAAATTACCCTTATGCATGGAACCTTTCCGTGCTTCTAGCCTCTTTTGTGGAATATTCAAAGTTTTACACTGTATAGCTCAGTTCTGTTTCCTGACTGTTGGGAACAGGCTCAGTAAGTTCAGTGATCAACTATGACTAAAAGTGAACAAAATAATCTCAAAATCAGATGCCTTCTGCTGTGCGTGACTGTCTGGCGCAGAGTGGTGCTCAGAGCCCAGACCCTGGGCCATCAGATGACTTCAGGCTCCTCTGTCTAGGAGTACTCAGCAAGTGCACCATACTTAGAAAGATGTCCACTAATATGGTCAAATAAATATTTTGGTCCTTAGAATTCCCACTGGGGAACTTTGTAGTTGACAAGTATGTGGGGCAAGTGGGACTTCTACTGGGTTCAGTCCCAGCTTTGTTATTTATTGGCTTTTAAACAAAGACAACCTACTTTCCCCCTGCTGGAGCCTCCAGTGTGGTGTGTCAGGCATTGTACCTCTCCCTCATGTGTGAGTTGTGATAATTAAATGTGGTTCTGCAAATGGGAAAATTGCTTTGTAAATGTCAGGGCCGCTCACACCATATGGTATTATTTTGGATCACAGTGTGGGCCGGGTCCATAAACTACTACACTTCACGCTGTGCCATTTCTCTTTTTGTCTTACAGTGATTTCCCTCAAAGCTTCTGAAGATTCATCCTTTGAGAAAAAGAAAGAGACCTGGGCATTTTTTGAAGGTAGACCTTGCATGTTTCTTTATTATGAGATGCCCCTCGCTTTTAGAGAATAAGAAAGGAATAAAATGGGAAGAAAGCGTAACCAAACTCAAGGGGGTCACCACTTGGGGTACACCAAATTGAACACAACCAATATTGGAAGTGAAGGACTTTTTATTTCTTGTTACAAGTTAGGGGACAGGGAGATAGTTCTCAAAGCACCGTCTCCCCACAGGATTAGTACAAGAACCTTTTATTCAGTGTGTTAGGAGCTGGGGCAGGGAGCTGCCATTGGTACGGTTGGATGAGTCGCGCACGTCTAGCACATCAGGACGCTAGTACGTACCTCGTACGTTCTAAAAAAATGGCAGAACACTCTGCCCATAGGATGTGATGTTAGCATAATGAGCTAAAGGTAACTTGAGGTCCTCAGCTTCAACCTGGCTCACCTGGCTCCCATGCGGGCTGTTAGTGGAGATACCCCGAGCAAGTGGGTCTCAGGTGAAACATCTCGTCGGGCGTATCCTAGGCTGGAACTGTTGGTTCTGTGAAACAAAACACATTCCTTCCCTGCTTTTGTCCCTTCCCTTCCCACCTTCTGCTGATAGCTTCCATCCCTCTTATTTGAGTAACTTCCTATTGCCTTTAACCAACAAAAAGGATCCTGACTTCTTAGTTGTGCTATGACATCAAGTTGTTTTCTTTATTTTTTTAATTAATTTATTTGAGAGAGAGAGAGAACATGAGCAGAGGGAGAGGGAGAAGCAGACTCCCCACCGAGCAGGGAGCCTGATAAAGCACTTGAACCCAGGACTCTAGGATCATGATAACCGAGTGAGCCACTCAGGTGTCCCTTAAGTTGTTTTCTTATCTTTAATTTACTCAAGAGAAGGGTGGGAGGGGCCCTTGGGTGGCTCAGTCAGTTAAGCGTCGACTCTTGACTCTTTATTTCTGCTCAGGTCTGATCTCAGGGTCGTGAGATCGAGCCCGGCATGGACTCAGCTCAGAGTCTGCTTGTCCCTCTCCCTTTCCCTCTGCCCCTCACCTACTCATGCTCTCTCTCTAAAAAAAGTAAGTAGATTCTTTTGAAAAACCCCAAAACTATATATATATATATATATATATATATAGAGAGAGAGAGAGAGAGAGAGAGAAAGAGAGTAAGGTGGGAATCCCTGTTGGTATCAGCCCATGGGTTTTGAAAGAGTAGAGACAAAGCCCCAAGCTCCAGAATTCCTACTCCTAAGTGATTTTAGGGAGGGATCTTCAAGTACTGTACAAATGAAATGTACCCCTACTGTGGCAAATTTTATCTCCAGTTTCTTACAGAGTTTGGGATTCTAGAAATAGGTTGAGAACCTTCAGCAAGTGGTTTTCAACCCATGTTAGATTCCCCCGGGGAGCTTTAAAAACACTGATGCCTGGACCGCATCTCTGGACATTCTGATTGAACTGGAACTGGTTCAAAGCTCTCCAGGTTAAAAAAAAAAAAAATGGTGCCTGGGTGGCTCAGTGGGTTAAGCCTCTGCCTTCAGCTCAGGTCATAATCCCAGGGTCCTGGGATCGAACCCCACATTGGGCTCTCTGCTCAGCGGGGAGCCTGCTTCCCCCGCTCTGTCTCTGCCTGCCTCTTTGCCCACTTGTGATCTCTGTCTGTCAAATAAATAAATAAATAAAATCTTAAAAAAAAAAAAAAAAAGCTCTCCAGGTGCTCCCAGCAGGAGCTCTGGCTGGTCCCAGGCCAGCAGCAGCAGCATTACCTGGGAGCCTGATACAAAGGCACAGTGTCGGGCCCTCCCTTCACGCACAAGATCAGAAACACTAGGGGTGGTGCCCAGAAGTCTGGGTTTTCACAAGACCTCCAGGGGGGATTCTGCTGCACTCAGACTGGGGTTCAAGGGGGTTGGGCCTCTCCAGGGTACATTTTCCAGTTATGGATATATTTTTGGTTGCCACAAGTAGGCTTTCGATTGTCTTGGCTTCTACGGGGTAGAGGCCAGGGGTGCTGCTAAACGTCCTAGCCATGCCCGTGTAGGTCAGCTCCCCACAACAAGGAAATCTCTGGCCCCAAATGTCAAGAGTGCCGAGGCTGAGAAACCTTGCCTTACTGAGAGTGAGGAGAGTTCACAGGAATTATTATCACAAAGTGGGGAAGGATTATGACCAGAAGCAATAAAAGAATGTCCTTTGTGAGTTCTGGGCAGAGCCTTTGGTCAGTGAAAAACTGTTGAATGTCAAAAGGTGATCAGGAAATCCTGAAGGATTACATTTAGGGAAGGCATGGCATTTATGGGTGATGAATCCCCTTGCTGAACAGATCTCGGGAGATGTGTGTGCCTTGGGGGTTCCCCTCACCTTTAGTTAGCTCACAGATGTGCTGCAAGGAGATCGTGCCCCATGGGAGGGGGGCACTTGGATCCAAAACCACCTCTTCCTCTTCCGATAGCCAGTTAAAAGCAGTGGGTGGAGGCACTTTCTCTCTTAGAAAAATGTAATCACAGTTGGGAACATTATTTGCAACCAGGAAGTGTCACCCAGATAGGAGACTGGGATTCATTGTTTTGCCATAAAATATTTTCTTTGTGAGACTGCTCTTTCATTCGGTAGCGATTCCTTGTATTCCCTGCCTTTTCTTTTCTTTCTTTCTTTTTTTTTTTAAAGATTATTTATTTATTTATTTGACAGACAGAGATCATAAGTAGGCAGAGAGGCAGGCAGAGAAAGAGGGCGAAGCAGGCTCCCTGACAGAGAGCCCGATGTGGGGCTCGATCCTAGGACCCTGAGACCATGATCTGAGCCAAAGGCAGAGGCTTTAACCCACTGAGCCACCCAGGTGCCCCCTGCCCCAGCTTTTCATTCAGGGAATGCCTATTTGTTATCAAGGAGATGAAAGGAACTTTACTCCATGGAGTGAAGCAGTAGAAAAAAACAATTGATTTACTCCATGTTTCGGGGAGCTGCTCCATGACCGAGGCCCAGTGGTGAGGGAGAAGTATGGAGACATCCAGGGCATCCCTAAGGTAGGTCGCTGGCAGCTGTGACATCGGGAGCCTTGTTTATCAACAGATGCATAAGGATCTCCTGGGGGGTTGTTAGTGACCCGGATTCTGGGCTCCCCACCGAGAATCTGATTATTGCATTTAGGAAGGGAGCAAAACATTTGTACTGGGGCCCAGGGTGTTTCCCCAGTGCAAATGGTCTGAGGACTGTATTTAGAAATAACCAATGGTATGGGGGGTGGCTAGCTTAGTCAGTTAAGCTTTTGGCTCAGGTCATGATTTCGGGGTCCTGGGATACAGCCCCGTATTGGGCTCAGCAGGGAGTCTGCTTCTCCCTCTGCCTCTGCTCCTGATCACACACACATACACTAACACACACACACACAAACACACACATACATACACACTCTCTTTCTCTCCCTCAAACAAATGAATAAAATCTTAAAAAAAAAAAAATACCCGTGGTACTAAAAACAAGACTCCATATATCTGGGAGGATTGCAGCACGTGGTCCCAATCCGCCTGGCAGCATCATCAGCATGTCTAAAACGAGCGTGTAATTGATGGTACTTGGTAATTCACATGTAGCTCTTGACTCTCAGGGTCACTTTTAACCTAGCTCTCTGCACAAAATCCGTAGCCCAATGTAGGCTTCCTTCTCCACACAGAGAATTAGGTCCCTTCAGAAAAGAGCTAGAGTCCTTGCTCTGTCTAATGCCACAGAGCAGCTGTTTCCAGAGCCTTCTTTCCCTGTGATTCCAGCAGCAGTGGCCTTGTGTTTTGCTTTCTTAACCCAGCCATGGTGTCAGTGAGGCCAGGGGTACAGATGAAACTCCCTGGCGCCTGATGCCGGGCCTTTGCCCTTTTGTTCCTGGATGGGAGAGCTGATGAGGGATGGCCGTCTCCTGGGGCTCCGCTCAGTGGGCCACATGGCCGCAGCACAAATTCCAGCATTGTCAGAGCACTTGGTGAAATGCGGCAGTGAGTTAAAATCCCTCAGGGCTGTGGCTCAGGTTGGCTGCACAGATCTGAGATCCTGGCGTTTGCATTTTCCCTGGAAGAGTAGAGGACGGACATGGACTTTCTGGAGTCAGCGGTCTGGGAGAGTGGCTTCCTTCACTGCGAGGAGACATGCTGGGGCCTCCGGGTTTCAGAGAGGCCGAATATCCCAGCTGGCCTCCGGGTTGCCCAGCAACAGGTGCTGCTTGCCTGTGTCCGGGGCCTCTCTGCTGGGCCTGCCCTGCCGTGGCTTGGTGTTCTGGGAGGGGGGATCTGGCACTAACTCTCTGTGCCCCCACCCCGCCCTCCACCTCCCTGCCGCGTGAATGTCCCTCCAGCCTGCCAGCCCCGCCATCTGCTTCGGGGAGGCCTGGGCTGGGGCAGGAGGGACATTTTCTGCATGGCAGCTTGCAACGGAGCCTAAAAATGACATCGGTGCCTTTGAAAGTCTGGTGGCAGAAGACAAAGCTGCACATAAGTTTGAGGGACGTAAAAGATTTTTAGAATGGTTTTGAGGGCGCAGGTACACGTGGTGTTTGGAAAGCTAACCCCAGGTTCGGTTCAGTGCAGATGTTTTGTTCGATTTGGATCTGAAGGCTGTGGATTCAGCCTCCAGACAAGGATTGTTTGGCCCGGTCTGGTCTGGGTTTTAAAACCTTTGAGCCCACATTTATAATTAGAGAGGTGTGTACGAGGAAGTTAAGGAAAAGTGGGAGATAAGGTAGCACAGGCTGGGCTTCTGGGCCGAGGACAGCTGTCCTGAGCAGAGTGGCCGCCGCCTGTGCAGAGCACAGCCCAGCTTTGCTGTTGCTCGCCCAGTGGCAAGGCGGTGCTCCATCTACGTGTTTGTGACCCTGGCTGAAACAGCTCAGCGTTTTATCTGTTTGCAGAGAAAACTGGGAGCGGTGGTTTCAGTGTTTTGAGTAGATAAAACGGGGCATTGTCTTTATGCAGCAAAAGGAACTCTCGGAAGAGAGGGAAAAATCGGAACTCTGGTGTCTTGGGTGCTACCCCATCCAGAGAAACTCAGATGTTCTGTTTGAGCTTTTCTCCTCCTGCAAGGTGACACTTGCTCACGTTCCTGGAGCTTCAGGAATGCAACAGAGAGAAGGTGTGATTGCTCCTGAGGCTGTGGGTACGCACACACAGGCAGCTGGTGCCTGCCGGCCAGTGTCCCCAACCCATGGGTCTGCGTGTTTGGCGGTGTAGCTGAGCCTTCCGGACTGGCCAGATGTTTTATGTCTGCAGCCAGGGCTGCCTGGGGAGAGCCTCCTCCGTGCCACGTGGTAGAGGCTGTGATCTGAAACCAGAACTTGGGCCTCTCAGAGCCCCTCGCCTCCTGCTGGGGCAGAGCGGGCCACAGATGTCTACAGCGTGCTTCTGGGGACGCTTGTGGGAGATTCTCACCACGACCTTGTCCCTGCTTGATTGCTACAGTTTCCAAACCAAGGAAGGGGCTCCAATGAAGAGGGGGCTCCTGGTGGATGCTGCCCTGCTCCAGTGATCCGGAAACTTCATTCAGTGAGACGGTTTGTCTCTCCAACGAAGGATGAGACTGAAGCCGGATCACCCTTGCCTTTTTGGTCCTGAGGCCCGCATCTTTGGAGTCTGTCGAGGTGGATGCTGTGTCCTCTTGCCCCACGTCTGTGTGCCTGGCAATGGGGCTGAATTATTTGCCATCCTCTCATGCCAGAAATGACTACACAGTCCTGGTCCCTGAGCAGTTTGCTTAACCCCTGTAAATCCGGGACTGGCCGTGTGCTCTCCGTGTTCTGGCCCACCCTGCATCCTGTCATGAATCCTGGTCTGTGACCCCTGCTCTAGCTCTCAGAATTTCATTGTTTGAATGGAGACCTGAGCCCCTAACTCTGACCACTCAGAGCTCTCACCGAGTGAATCTGCAAAGCCCACGCATCTGAGACAAGGTGTCTATACAGAAAGGCAGTTTTGATTTTTGTTGTAGGAGAGGGTTTCCACTATCTCTGTCTCAAACTCCTCACATGCCACTGAACTCCTCGACCCCTGTCATCAGGCTCAGCCCGTACCCTCCCACTGAACTGGCTTTCCCCCAGGACTTTTCCAGTAACTTCCAAGGAGGAACACCCAGTAGATGTTTTCCAGCAGCACCTGCTGCTATTAAAGAACCTTTAACATCTACTCTCTTGGTTTCTAGAACTCTCAACTTCTGTTTTCCTCTGCTTCTGTGACTGGCTCCCAGCTCCCTCTGCAGCAGACTCTTCCTACCCAACTTCCTGCTCCCTTAAATATTAGGGCAGGTGTTCCCTTCCCCTGAAGCCTTATCCTACTGTGCTTTCTACTTCTTTTACTTTTAGTTCTTTTACTTTAGTTTAACTTTTAGTTACTTTTACTTTTAGTTTACTTTTACTTTTACTTTAAGTTCCATGAAGAGAAACCTTCTTAGACTAGCTTAGGCCAGAATGTTGACTGAGCCTAAGACCACGGGAGGACCTCATGGACTCTGGCTCAGAGACTACACTGAGCCTCCTGGGCTGTAGGCCAGGGAAGAGAGAGTCAAAAGGAGGCTGAGATGTCTGATTCCATCCCATCCTCCCCCTTCCTCTCTCACTGACCATGGCCTTACCTGCGTCTCCTGCTCTCTGTGGAAGCTAGCCGTTCCCCCTCCGCTGCTCCCAGCATGCTTGCTTTTTCCATTTGGACACGTAACTACCTGCTTCTCCGGGTCCCAAGGGCTTTACAAAGGTGCATTCCTTTGACTCAGCAATTCCACTTCTAGGAACTTCATCTTAAAAACCTAATTTGAGAGGTGTGTTAAGGTTTGAGTCTGTAAATGTTCATCCTCCTCATTTATTACAGGGAGCAGTTAGAAACACTTTGTGTGATCAGTAATAAGTTCCCATGAAGCCACTTCTATTAATCTAATACTTTTTTTTCATTCTGTTTCTCTCTGTATTTTTATTCTTTCTATACATTTTTGCATTTTCTGTGTGTTGTTTTTTTTTAAAAATTTTATTTATTTACTTGACAGAGAGAAAAACACTGAGAGAGGAAACACAAGCAGGAGGAGTGGGAGAGGGAGAAGCAGGCTTCCTGCTGAGCAGGGAGCCTGATGCAAGGCTCGATCCCAGGACCCCGGGACCATGACCCAAAGCAAAGGCATACGCTTAACGACTGAGCCACTCAGGCGCCCCTTCTGTGTTTTCTTAAATATGACTCAGCACAGAGCTCCAGTCCTCTTTGAAGTTCCTTGTGACCTCCTCAGACTGGTTGAGTTCCTTCTCTGTGTGTTTCTGGCACTGGGCACACCCTTCTGTTGTTACAAATGCCATGGCACTCTCTGATTTCTTGATGAGACTTTAAAATGTCCATTGTTCTATTTCTTGTTTGTAGGAGAGTGCTGAACATGGCTGATAATGAATGTCTGTTGGCTCAAGACATTTAAGTGGGTAGGGAAACATTTTGCCAGGTTCAAACGTCTGTAGCTTTTTGCTACAGAGAAGGGTTAAATGATGCTTTTGGCTTCCCTTTGCCTTTCTGAGCAGTCGGCATTGGATCAATCAGATTGGTGATGAAGTTGATCATAGGAGTTTAGGAAATGGATGTATGTTATTAAGGGCTCAAGGTTGGTGTTCGCCCCAAATTCACATGTTGAAATCCTAGCTCCTAATAAGACTGTATTAGGAGGTGGGGCCTTTGGGAAGTGATGATGTCATGAGAGTGGAGCCTTCTGAATGGGATTATTTGCCCTTCTAAGACGAGACCCCATAAGAGCTTGCTTGGTGTCTCTCTGTTCTCTGCCATGTGAGGACACCAAGAAGAAATGTCTACAAACCAGGAAGGGAACTCTTACCAGTTACCAGTTCTGCTAGCATCTTGCTCCTGTGGGAAGTGTATGTTTATTGTTTAAACTGCTCAGTCGGGGATACCTGGGTGGCTCAGTGGGTTAAAGCCTCTGCCTTCAGCTGAGGTTATGATCCCAGGGTCCTGGGACTGAGTCTCACATCGGGCTCTCTGCTCAGTGGGGAGCCTGCTTCCTCCTCTCTCTCTGCCTGCTTCTGATCTCTGTCTGTCAAATAAATAAATAAAATCTTAAAAAACAAAAACAAAAAACTGCTCAGTCGATGGTATTTTGTTATAGTGGCCTAAATTGACTGAGACAAAGATGATCATGAAAAAAAATGGACATAATTGTAGATTAGCATATATTTCTAAAAAGTGATACAGGGATCCCCTGTACCCATTTGTGCCCTTAACCCAGTTTCTCCCAATGGTAACATCGTGCAAAACTCTAGTAAAACACGGCAACCAGGATGTTGACATTGATACAGCCAAGATACAGAACATTCTCCTCCCCACAAATGTTTTTTAGAGCCAAACCCAGGTTCCTCCCATCAGCTACTCGCTGCTTAACCTCTGGCAATCATTAATCTGTTCTCCATTTCTGTAATTCTGCCATTATATAAATAAAATCATACAGTATGTAGCCTTCTGGGATTTCTGCCCCCCCAACCCCACCTCCACATTTAGCATCGTTCTCCGGAAGTTCCAGATTGCTGCGTCCCTTAGTAGCCCGTGGTGTGTATGAGCACAGTTTGTTGAGCCGCCCACCTCCTGAAGGACCTCTGGGCAGGTGCCAGTTTCGGGCTACTGCAAATAAAGCTGCGATTTTGTGTGAACTGAAGTTTTCATTTCTCTGGGGGCGTTTGACCCAGAGCAGTTGCTGAGTTGAAGGGAATTTGTAGGTGTATCTTTTATGAAACTGTTTTCTGGAGGGGCTGTACCATTTTATATTCTCACCAGCAAACTGGTCTCCAGTGACCCAGTTTATTCATAGCCTTCCTGGCATTTGGTATTGTCGCTATTTTTTATTTTATTGGTTTTGATGGGTGTATGAGATATCTCGGCGTAGTTTACATGTGCACTTCTCGAATGGCTGAGGAAGTTGAACATCTTCTCATGAACTTATTTGCCTCCTGTATGTTCTCTTTAGTGAAATGTCTCTGGTTCTGCTCATTTCCTAGTAGGATTGGTTGCTCATTTTTTTACTGTTGTGTTTTGAGAGTTCTTTATATTTTACATACTAGTCCTTTGTTGGATATACAGTTACAAATATTTCCTCCCAGTCCGTAGCTTGTCTTTTCATCCTCTTCATACGGGTGTTTACAAAAGAGAAGTTTTTAATTTTAATGAAATCAAGTTGATCAAATTTTCTCTATATAGATGATGTTAGTGTGAAGTGTAAAAATTCTCTGCTTATGGACGCCTGGGGGACTCAGTCAGTTAAGTGTCTGCCTTTGGCTCAGGTCATGATCCTAGGGTCCTGGGATCAAGTCCCATATTGGGTTCCTTGCTCAGCAGGGAGTCTGTTTCTCCCTCGGCCTCCCACTTCCCCTGCTTGTGCTCTCTCTCTCTCTCTCTCTGACAAACGAATAAAGTCCTTAAAAAATACATTTATAAAAAAATGTCTCTGCTTAGTCCTAGATCCCAAAGATTTTCCTCCTACTTTCTCCCCTAAATTTTCTAGTTTATGTTTTCTGTGTAGGCTTGTGGTTTATTTTGGACTGATTTTTGGTAACGTATGAAGTTGATCTTATTTGATACCACTATGTCTTTGCCTTCAGATCTCTACATCTACGCTGTTCTCGTGTGCTGCGTGGGGATCCTCAGTGTCCTCCTCTTCACCCTGACCATCATCTGGCAGTCTGTGTTTAGCAAGAGGAAAGCCAGAGGTAAGAGGAACGATAAGGTCATGTCTGGAACGGGAGCACAACCAAACCACAGACGGGGGAAGATGCTGGGCAAAGTATAACCTTGTTTGAAAAATGCATCGTGAGTCAGGGATTATGTCCCTGTGACGGGTGAGTACAGCGAGTGAGGAGATGTGTCCCCCTTACTCTGCTAAAATCAGTTGTGCCCACGTTGAACTTTCTCTTTTTCTCAAATCCCTTCCTTCCGCGGTCTTCGAGGGGGTGGCCCTTCCCTCTCTCATTCGCCCAGACGGGGCTGTGGAGTCAGATGAACCTGGATTTGACTGATTTTAGACGTGTTCCTTAACCACCCTGGCTTCATTGTCCTCATCTATGAAACGAACTGGGGTGGACACTGCCTTCCTCAGACGGCGTGCGGTTGTGAGTGTTCATTATTTGATTACAGTACTGGCCCGGGGCCTGGCGCCTGGCAGGCAGGTGGGGTCAGGAAGGCTTCGCCCAGCCTGGGGGGGGTCACTTCCATCTCCTTCCCTGTCAGCATCCCTACTGGCCTGGATCTGTCCTCAGCCCTGTCCTGCTCTGCTCTTTCTCTCTTAATGATTACAGTTCTGGGGACTCCGACTCTTACCTCCCTATGCAGGCTGCCCGGGCTGCTTTTCCACTCCAGTCCCCATCTCTCAGAAAGCCTTAATGTCTCGTTTCCACTGGAGCCTGTATGCTTCCTCAGAAATACCCTCCCTGCACACCTTCTGCATTTCCAAAGTAGGTGTGGATGCTGTAGCTTCCCAAGGTGATGTGGGTGACAGCTGGGCTCTGGAATTAGACCGGCTCTGGTTCAGATGGCTGCTCTTCACTTACCAGCTGATGACCTACCCGCTGAGCCTCACCTTTCCCATCTGAGTAATGGGAAAGCAGTAGCGTGCCCAGTCCCATGGGATTATTGAGAGGCTAAAGTTCAGCAACAACAGCAACAAAACCTTTAACACATTCCGATTCTTGTAAGTGTCAATGACACGTGGTTAGCATTATGCATCAGCCTGAGGTCACAAAGCTGGGAAGTATTAGACTGGGTGGTCGCAGTGTACGGGAACGCTTGAACAGGGAGACGGAGCCATGCTTCCAGAGGGCCTCTCCGCCAAGGTGCAGGCAAGGCTCAGGGAGGGTGGGGGTGCACTCGGGGACCAGCCTGCAGGAAGCTGTTGCCATTGCAGAGTTAGGGGACGAGGGCAGGAGAGGCTCCTGGGACTTGCAAGAGCCGCCGCTGTGGGACAAGTGTCACCAGCAGGAGCCTTAGAAGAGGGACCCGGGCAACGCCATACCAGGAGGTAGCAGGGAGGGAGCGGAGAGCACTCATTCCTCAGCCCTCCTTTCTCCCCTCTCCTCTGGATGTCCTGCTGCTGCTTTGCTGTGCTCTCACCAACCAGGAGCCAGAGGGCAGGGCGTGGAGGTCAGCCTCCTGGCCAGTCACGGTGGAGAGGGACACAGAGACACCCAGCACACTCAGGCCTATGGCGGATCTTTCATGGGCCGTACCCTTCCCACAGTGCTCTCTGCAGTCTCTCAGCTGATCTGGAGAGCCTTCCTCTGCAGCCTCTACCTACCGCGTCAAGAGTGCCCAAGCTTTCCTCCTGTTGCAAACCCTTGCCTACGCCTGTGAGCTTGTGGGACACATTGTACAGATGCCTTCGCTGCCCTTCAAGAGAATAGCGAGGAAGGCACAGGCCCATCATCTGATCCATTCTCCTTGGGATTTGGCTTATGACAGCTGCTCAGCAAGTAGGGGACAAATGTGTTTGTTTCCCAGCTGCTTTGCTCCCAGCTGTTGGAGTTTGGAAACCCCATAAGCAGTCTCTAAGCCTGTTTTGCTCCAAAGGCACCTCTGCCTGGGTTTGGGAGCAGGACAGAGCAGCGTGCCTTGAGCTGCAGGCTCTGGTAGTTGGTAGGCAGGATCGGGGAAACAAAGCAAAGTAGTTAGTTCAGGAGACATCCATCTCCTCCAGAGCCGACGAGGCAGACTGCCGGAGTACGTGCCGTGCCTCACACAGAGCCCCCAAGAACCCAGATCCCAGTCACCCTTGACCCCCCCCGGAGCGAGCCCAGACAGCCTCGTGTGCACCTGTGCACAGTGTCCCAAAGCCCCGCTGAGCTTCCAGGAGCTTCGCAGGGGCACCTGCTGCGGGCCGCACTGCTCAGTGGCTCCTCCACAATCCTGTGTGATCCTTACCACCAGTCCATACTGCTTCCATTTGAGAGAGAGGACTCAGCTGAGAAGCTTGAGAAAGTCCTGAAAGGGGTATGGCAGAGCCCAAGCTCAGCCTGATTCTGAGGAAATTTCTGTCCGAAGAGAGCTTCGCCATCTGGGAGCCAGGCTTGCCAAGGAATTTTCTTTCAGCCTTCACAGCGGTTCCTGCCAAGGTCCTTTCCAAACAGCAGGTATCGCTCCCGTAGTCCCTAGGGAGCTCGGCTTTATTCTAGCAGGCTGGCCTTCTGTGGTCCTGGCTGAGCGGGTCCTGCCCTCTGGGACACTAGCAGCCAGGTGCCTCCCAACCACCACAGGGCTGGGGACAGGGGACTGTGCAGGGTAGGGCCAGGGTTACCCCTCACCTGGACCTCAGAGCCTTAGCACAGCGCTGCCCGAACCTTAAGGAGCAGACTGTTCACCGGGAAGCCTGCTCAAATGAACATTCTGACTGAGTACTTCTCATGAGATCATGGCGGGTCCACAGTTACCTGTGAGACGCCACGCTTCGAGTGGCAAGGCCTTAGAGCTGGTTCTTCTGAACCCTGTCCTCCTCTGTACCCGTCTTTTATACGAAATATTTTGAAAGGATCCCATTACCATCTTGAAATGAAACTCAGAGATGAGATGAGCTGCCTGTGCCCACAAAAATACAATCCGGCCCAGACCCCCTTGTTACGTGGACAGTTTCTGGGTTTTCTGTGTCACTGTGTGTGGGTTGGGCCTTCTGCGTCCTGGCCACATGGAGGAAAGCCAAGCTCTCTTGCCAGGCTGAGAACCTCAGAGCATCCTGGCTGCTCACAGACACAGGGAAAGCGGAGGGGAGCCCAGCACCGGCTCTCCTGCTCCTTCCCCTGGATCTTCCTCAAAGGGGATATCAGAGTAGCTGTCCCCACTCCCGGTGCCATCCCCTGGAGAGTGCCTGAGGTAAACAAAGCGCAGCCTGGAAGCTGGGGGGCCAGCAGCCAGCGTCCTTCTCTTCCTTCTCTCTCTCCATTCCCGCTGCTTGGCCCTCACCCCGGCCTTGTGCTGCCTTGTTTTCCTGAGGTGCTCATTATTCTCGTGAGCTGCCGTTGATTGCACCCATGTGTTCCTTGCTTTGCACTTTCCTCCTGAGCTGTGACTCTTTGTCCTGGCTCTTAGGGCCTGGGTGCTTGCAGCTTTGTCCCAGGGGCTCTGTGGCTTTGAGTCACCCTGGAAAACACGAGTCCTGGTGGCCCAGGACCAGACCCTGAGTTACTTCTCAAGCACAGTGCTTTCCCGTAGCCTTTACTTGTTTGGGAATGAGCCCAGACTTGCTGCTTTGAGAGGGCTCTAGCAATCCCCCAGCCTTCCCTGTCTGAGCTCTTACAAGGGCAGTTTGAAGGCACGGTAGGACAGACGGAAGGAGACGGCCTTAACACCTTTGTCGCTACTCTCTATGACGTCTCGGTCTAGCTGGCACTTGCTGTGCTAGAACCCTAGCACACACATGTCATTGGACATTTTCTTAGTAGTCGCATTAACAGGGTGAAAAGGTTAAAAAAAAAAACCAACCAACTCTTTTATTTAAAATATATCTAAAATAGCATTTCAACAAGTATCAATATAAAGATTCAGAACGAGATATTTTACGTTCCTTTGTTCATGCTAAGGCTGAAATCCAGCGTGATCTCATACCTCCAGCACATCTCACTCGGGACTAGGCGTATTCGAGTGCTAGGTAGCCACCTGGGGCCCACAACTTCCATATAAGACCTTATGTGCTGGTGTTTTCCATCAGTGCTTTTCACGTCGTCATGAAATAGCTCTCTATAGCAAGAGGACAGGCAATAGGAAACCCCATTCTCCTCCTCAGCTTACCACTTGGTGCCTGAGGGAAATGGCTTCACCTGGCCTTGTGACTGTGCCAGTCCTGAAACACTGTTAGGGCAGGTCTGCTTCCTGGAAGGGGCTGGGGTTTTGGATGTTACGTGATGGGAGCACAGTCCCGTGTAAAGGGAAGGGCTGGCAGGAAGCGGGGCACAACCCTGGGCTTATCTCTCCCCACAGGGAAGTGCAGATGTCCTTTTCCAGGCTGCTGGGCTGTCTGTCCCTGCTGGAGCTGGGCTGGGAATTGGGGGGGGGTTGCTGGGAGAGCACTGTGCTTAGTCATTCTTGCTCCTTCGGCAGATGCATGGGACCTTTTGCAGGGGCTGTTACAGTCCTTGCACAGTGCAGGAGATGCTTGGGGAGCAGAGCAGAATTATCTATGGGTCCTACCTCAGCGTCTCTGCAAGGCCTGGGATTGGGAGAGGGTGCAGGCAAATTAGGGGAAAGTTAGGGGAGGGTCAGGCCTTGACCTTGAGGCCCCAACACTGGTACAGAGCCTGATAGGATGGGGGAGCATGGCTACCTCCACTCCAAATCACCCATCTGGAGGTGGTAGTGGTGGCAGAGATGGGCCCAGATGGGGATGACAGTCTTCAGCCTGAACAGGTCATCTGGGAGATTTGGCCATGAGGTGGGGGCTGGGAGCAGTATTGTTCAGGCTGAGGTGGCAGAGAGAGGGTAGCCCCAGCTCACAGACACATTTCTGCCAGGAGGTGAGAAAAACAGTCTTTCCTTTTAGTCTTCCAAGTCCTAAAGATCATAAGATCACCGCTGAAAAAGAACACTGTCCTGAGTTTTCATTTCTGTGCAGTCTGTTGCCTTTGTGTGGGGGCCAGGAGCCCCCAGTCAAGTACGCTGGATGCGAGGTCATGGCCCATGATGGAGACGGGCTCCAGGACCCCCCCCCCTTATTGTCTTCCTTCTCTTGGTGGTCTCACTTCCCCACTCTCCAGTGGATTTGCTGGGATCCCATCCCACAGAGACTCTGTACTGAAATGCTTGTCTTACAGACTCTGCTTCCTGGGAGTCAGTGCTGATGAAGTTACGTATATTTAAATGTGACTCTGTGCCAGGGCTATGTCTCCGAAGTGCCTAGGTCTTATGTTCGGTATGAATTACTTTTGGTTCCCTGGCAGTCCCTGAGCCTTAAAGGAACATCAGCCATGTGTTTACTGGTCTGAGACATTATAAGCATCGGTCAGCAAGTGCTGGCCGAGGGGCGTATTTTGTGCTGGGCACTAACCATCCTCTCTGGGCTCCTGGTCTTTCTGAGTCAGCCTGTTCTCCTACAGCCAATGATTACAAGTTGCCCTGGCCTGCCCTCCGGCTCCCTGGCTTCCTGATCTCCAGGCTGCTCACCTCACTGCCCCTGGACTGGATTTCCCAAAATAGAGGCCAATGCATGGATTCCCTAAGACTCCAGCCCCAGCTCTGCCCTGCCCAGCTGTGGCACAGTGGGCCAGCCATCTCTCCTGAGACTGACTCTCTTCGTCTATAAGGAGCTCTGATACCAGCCACCCAGTATCTCTGAGAATGGTGAGGAGTAGTTACAAGAGGGCTCTAGAGTCAGGCTGCCCACTTTTGCCCCTTCCTAGGTGTGTTAGTTTGCTTGGCTGCCATAGTAAAGCTTATAGGTGGCTGTCTTCTTCACACGGTCTTTCCTCTGCACCTGTTTCCTAATCTCGTTTTAGAAGGACATCAGTCATTTTGGATTAGGGCTCACCCCCAGTGACCTCATCTTAACTGAATCACCCGTTTAAAGGCCTCACTTCCAACTCCAGTCACATTCTGACGGGTTGGGTTTTAGGGCTTCAGCATAGGAAGGACGCAGCTCAGCCCCTAACATTAGCTGTGTGACCTTAGGCAAGGTCATTAACCTTTCTGTGCCTCAGTGTCCTCCACCATAGAATTAGGTGCAATAACAAAGTTTTTGTGAAGATTAAATTCAAGTGCAAATTCGTGGTCTTCAAACATTTTTGCTTGCATAGCACCTAAAAGCATTTCAAAAACTATGCACCCTTGGACATTTGTTGTTGATGTCTAAACTTTTTGATCATAAGTGTAAATTGTTGCAAAGGAGGTAATTTCTAGGGCATCACAAATATGGACATCTTAAAACAAAGTGTTTCAATCCTTTCACATCTAAATGTTACGAATTTCGTAAGTACCTCTCTTTATTTAAAAAGACTGTGAACATGCTTCAGCTATTAGAAATTATATATTGTTCCTTTTTCTCCTTGAACTTTTATCTTCACTCTACTTTCCCCACAAAATTTTATCCCACTTTAATGCAGTTTTTTTTTGTTTACACTGCTCTGTAAAAATAATGTGTATAAAAATTTAAATTAAGAATTTTTAAATTTCCTTATTCCACAAGTGTCTTGGTATTAAATTTTTTGTGTTGTTATTAATATTGCACAATTAATAAGATTTGGAAAATGAATATAAAATTAATCAAAACCCCATAGATATTATCAATTTAGATAATCAGTCATAGAAGACCATTTTATTGGAAATGTATTTTTATTAAAATAAATTTTTATTTTAGTTCATATACCCTTGCGTGAATCTGCTTAATAATGGAATTCAGCATCACTTCTATTCCTACTTTTTAAAGAAGAGAATTGAGGCTGAATTCCATTACTAAGAATAGAAATGATGTTGAATTCTGTTATTAGGCAGATTCACACAAGGGTATATGATCTGTCATTGAAAATTATTTTTAATACTTGACCAGCTGACAACTGGATTAGGTCATTATTTAATCCTTGTCAAAAGCAAAATATTGGAAACCTCTCTGCTGGTGAAAGCTTTAGTTGCCCAGTCCTTAGTCATTTGCTTTCTCAAAACTGGCACCAACTTTTCAAATAATTTCTCCTTTGGTGCCTCCTGTTTTTTACCTCCACAGCACAAGTCAGGATGGGTGAGAGGTATGCCTTGATTTTGTGAAGAGAAACAGTGATGTGGTGGGGAGGGAGGAAAGGAATGCAGCCAGAGCTCAGGCATGTTCTGGGAGAATGAATTCTGGAAGAAAGAACACTGTGCTAGGTGAGGATCTAGAAAGTGATTTCCTTAACACTACACTTCCTAGGAGTGCCCACCGGTTTGCAAACCCCAGACACATGATCCCTGATTTATTTAATAAGCCTAGAGTCAGGCCAGGAACATGAAGTGTTCCGTAAAACTAATTATGGTTTTATTATTGCTACATCTGTAAATTATCCAGCACAGAGTAGGTGCTCGGTAAACAGGATATAGAAAGAGTTTATGTACTAAAAGGAGGTAGTAACAGGTAAACCTAAAAAGCCCTTTCTTTTTTTTTTCTTTTTCAATTAGTGTTTTTTATTTATTTATTTATTTATTTATTTATTTATTTTCAGTGTAACAAAATTCATTGTTTATGCACCACACCCAGTGCTCCATGCAATGCGTGCCCTCCATAATACCCACCACCAGGCTCACCCAACCTCCCCCCCCCCGCCCCTTCAAAACCCTCAGATTGTTTTTCAGAGTCCATAGTCTCTCATGGTTAATCTCCCCTTCCAGTTTTCCCCAACTCCCTTGTCCTCTCCATCTCCCCATGTCCTCCATGTTATTTCTTATGCTCCACAAGTAAGTGAAACCATATGATAACTGACTCTCTCTGCTTGACTTATTTCACTCAGCATAATCTCTTCCAGTCCCATCCATGTTGATAGAAAAGTTGGGTTTTCATTTCTGATGGAGGCATAATACTCCATAGTGTATACAGACCACATCTTCCTTATCCATTTGTCCGTTGAAGGGCATCTTGGTTCTTTCCACAGTTTGGCGACCATGGCCATTGTAAAAAGCCTTTTCTAAAGCAGAGACCCTGTCATGCTGGTCTGGAACCTGCCCTGGTCACCTGCAGGACAGATCATGCCAAGTGTAGCAGCTTAAAAGAACAAGGATTTTATTTGCTCACAATTCCGTCGGTCAGCAGTTTCGACTGGGCTTAGCTGAGCATTTTTTCTGGTCTTCGCTGGAGTCCCTCCTTTGCTGCAGCCTGCTGGTGGATGAGCTGTGGCCTGGCTGCTCTGGGGCCTCAGCTGGGGTGACTTGTGCCTGTTCAATGTGGTCTTATCTCTCAGTAGGCTAGCCGGGCTTCTTTACATGGTAGCAGAAGAGTTCCCTGCAATGAAACAACAAATGAGCAAACCTCAGAGCGCAGGGGCCGGTTAGGCCTTTGCTTGTGACATATTGGTTATTGTTTCATTGACCAAAGCACGTCTGGCGGTCAAGCAGTTTCACAGCAGTGTGGACAGACACAGGGAGGTGCGATTCATTGGGACCATCGATGTAATGATCCACCACCCACCTCCGGAGCCCATGGCTTTGCTTCTATTTGAAGTGAACTCAATTGTGAGATTAGATTGGCCACTTATTAGGATAACTGCCTAGTTCTTGTTTCTCCTCTGCTGCTAGAATCTTTTTTTTTTTCCTCTATGAGACCTACTGTGGAGGATGTCTTGCTCTAAGACTGTTTTTCCAACACAGCCCCCTGCTGCCAGAAGAGTGTTGATGAGAGAACCAAATGCCAGTTTGCAGAGAGGAGCATCTAAGTGGAAACAGGTTGTCCCCAAAGGCTTTCTCATGACTAAGGCAGAGCTTCCAAGTTGGGTGACTGTTACTCTAAGACCTTCCAGATCAGAACCCACCTCAACCTGGCTTGGAAAAAAAAAAGACTGTTTTAGGTCATCAAACTAGGAAGTCTGGGGTATATGGTTCATGCCTGCCTGGCTCAGTCTAGGTGTGGAACAGTATTGAGTCAATGTGGTGTCCGTGCTATGGTTATGCTTACTCATCCAAAAAGAAGCATGAAAGCCCCAAGAAGTGGCTTGTACCAACATCTGGGCAACGCCTGGGTACTTACGTTCCCCTGTGATTCCTGGAGCACATGCTTCTAAGGTAACATTTATTTACCATCTTCTATTTCTTTTCATTTTACAGCGAGACATTATTTGGTGAAATGTCCCCAGAACAGGTAGGAATACTTTCTTTCTTTTTTCAAATGAAACTCTTTGATATTTTCCTTTCTATTGATATTACCAAGAAATGGGCTTAATTTGTATCTTTACCTAAGGGTCTGCATGGTAGTTTGCAGGTTGGCCTAAAAATGTGTTTTCTTCATGCACTTGGGTGTTTCTAGATTCCGTGCTCTGGTTTTTACCCCCAGATTCCAGAGAAAATATAACTCATGCTGGTTCAACATGCCGGCTGGAGGAGGCTTGGCACCTGCTCCTGGACTACTGTTTCCCCTGTGTAGGAGGAAGCTAGCAGCTAGACTGAAGCACTTTGATGCTTTCTGGCCACAAATCCTCCTAATTCCCTTCTACCAGTTCCTGCTTGCCCTATGCCCTGCTCTGCAGAATGTGGCCATTAAAAATACATGTGCCGAGATGCTAGCCTTCTAACTGGTGGAACACACCTCACAGGTAACATAACAGTTAGAGCAGACATTGCAAACTCATAGTGTTTAGAAATTTGAGACTTCTGGTTCAGGCACAATGGCATAGGTCAGTTTCTCCCTGCTCTTCCCTGCTAAACACAGCCATAATCCCTGAAAATACTGCCAGAGACAACCAAAGGAGGACTCTGAAAGGGGATAAGAAGAAAATGATGAAAGACAAAGAAAAAAAATCTTAAAAGCAATGAGAGTGAAACAATGCATTATTTATGGGGAACACAAATGGGAACGACAGTGCAGTTTTCATTGGAATTGATGGAAAGCAGAAAGAAGTGGTACATTTTCTCTTTAAAAGATTTTATTTATTTATTTATTTATTTATTTTAGGGAGAGAGCAAAGGAGAGAGAGAGCAGGAGCAGGATGAGGGCTGGAGGGGGAGAGGGAGAGAGAGAATTGCAAGTGGACTCCTCTTTAAGCACAGAGCCTGATGTGGGGCTTGATCTCATGACCCTGAGATCCTGAGCTGAGTCAAAATTAAGAGCTGGGCATTAAACTGACTGAGCCACCCAGGCAGCCCAAGAAGTGGCACATTTTCAAATATCGAAAGAGAAGAACTGTCAACTACAAATTCTATATCCAGCCCAACTGTCCTTTAGGAATAAAGGGTAAATAAGGACATTCTCAGATGAAGGAAAACTGAAAGAATTTGTCACTATGGATCCTACATTAAAAGAAAGGCCAAAATAAATTCTTGAAATAGAAGAAAAAGACTTGATACATTAGGGAAGAAGATCAACAGTAGAGCAGAAATATGGGTACATAAGTAAGCTATTCTTTTCCTCATGAGTTTTAAAAATAATATCTTATAATCAAAACAAAAATTATAAAACCATCTGATACTCAGGAAAAGCATTAAGATATTTAGAAGTGGGGTGGGGAAAGTTACCTAAATAGAAGTGAGGTTTTTACACTTTCCTCAAAGTGATAGAAATTTGGTAAGTCACACATTTATTATCACGCTCAAAGCAACCATTAAAGTGACTATGAAAAAAATACACTCAAAAACAGTATAGAAAAATAAAGACAGAATCCTAAAATATGTTCCAGTAACATAAAGGAACAGAGGAATAAAAACCACAGGAAATAAACAGAAAACAGATCATAAAATGGCAGACTTAATTGCTAACATACTGTTTCTCTTACCTGGTTTAAAACTTAAACAATTTAAATACATCAGTCAAATGACAGAGATTGACAGAGTGGATTAAAAAAACGTACACACACACAACCTGCGTATATGCTCTTTACAAGAAACTCACTACAAACTCGGTGACTTAGGTAGGTTGAAATAAAAGGATGGAAACAGTTCTACCACATAAACAAAACCAAAACAAATCTGGAGTGGGTAGACTAATAATATGATAAAATAGACTTTAGAGCAGAGACACTTACTAGAAACAAAGAGGGACATTCGATAATGACGACAGGATCAATCCACAGGACAAAGACCCTAAATGTATGTATACACACCAAACAGGAGAACTACCAAGTACATAAAGCAAAGAAAAAAGAGCTGAAAGAAGAAAGAGATAAATCCACAGTTACAGTGGGCAGCTCCAGTGCACCTTCTCAGCAACCAGGAAACTTTCTGAACAGAAATTCGCAAGGGTATGGAAGATCTAAACACCGCAATCAAGGACAGGCCCAAATTGATACAGATCGAACACTCGGACCACCACCGGCAGAACACGTGTATTTCCAGCCCCTGCAGAACATTCGTCATAAGATCTAGCCTATCTTAGACCAAATATTGGGCTTTAAAACAAACCTCAGTAACCTTAAAGCACTGGAACTCATACATACACACAGCACACTTTAAAAATAATGCATGGATCAAAGAGGAAGTCTCAGAGGAAATTAAAAAAAATACAGAGAATTGACCAAAAATGAGAATAAATGCAACAAAACATGTGCGATGCCTTTAAAGCAGTGCTGATGGGGAGATGTATGGCCTTAAATGCTTGCATTAGGAATTAGGAAAGCCCTCAAATCAACAATCTGAAGTCTCACCTCAGAAAATTAGGAAAAGAGCAAAATAAACCCAAAGCAGGCAGAAAAGAATGAAATGATAAAGGTCAAAGCAGAAACTGATGAAATTGAAAAGAGCAAAACAATAGAGAAATATCAGTGAATCAAAAATCTGGTTCTTAGGAGACTGATTGCTGGCAGAAAATGGGTAAAGTGTACCCAAGATCTCTCTGCTTTATTTCTTATGACTGGATGTGAATCTGCAGTTATCTTCATAAATACTTCAGTTGGATGTGAATTTGGATGTCTCTGGGGGGTCCTCTTTACAGCCCCAGCAGTCCCTATACCTGACTGCTTTGCGTTTCTGCTGCTGAGTTTGGGATCCAGAGAAACCCCATTACTAAAATCAAAATATAAACTTCTTTTATTGAGAGTTCACCACCTACCAGGTAGTTGTCTGGAGTAGTCCAACAGTGAAGAGAGATAGAAATCCCTGCTTCGTGGAACTTAGTAGGCATTGAATGCAAATGCTCGTGTCCCTGGGAGAGATATCTGACTATGGCCAAGTGAGGACATCAGCAACTCCTCTCCCCACAAAGGCAGCTTTTAATTGAACCAAATCAACAAAAATAACTGTTCTAACACTCTGGGAAGACCACAGGTGTATACTAAACGGAGAGCCTTTTATACTGGAAAAACTGCTGAGCTGCTGCTGACAGTAGTGGGGTCTGGTGGGGTTTTGGCCTCCGTTCACTCCGAAACTCTTCCCTCCTGCTTTGTCGGTGAGCTTTTTTCAGAGCAGGGAGTGCTGCGAGGACCACCAGATGCTCTGTTGTTAGAAGGGGGCTCGTGCGGCTTGGAGCAGTATGCAGTGCTCATGTTCAGCAGCAGTGTCACGGGAGGTGACCTTCTTAGGCGGATTGAGCCAGGAGGGCCGACAGTGCTGCTAGTCTGAGTTTTTGGTCACAGTTGGGGCAAGTGTATTTCTCGCTGAGACAACACACATGGGGAGTGCGGTATGGAGAGCACCCAAAGGAAGAGAATAACACTGTACAAATAGTAACAAGAGACATGGTAGCTGAATTAATATCAGATAAGATATAATTTAAGACAAGAAATAGGATGAAAGACCAAGAAGGAAATTACAAATTGTGAAGGATTAATACCACCAGGAAGGTACAACAATTATAAATGTACATGGGCCTAACAACAGAGCCTCAGCATCCATGAAGAAAAACAGAAAAGGGAAAGATGAAATTGGTGATTCTAGAATGATAGTTGGAGATTGCAATGGTCCACTCTCAGAAATTGATAGAATACCAAGACAGAAAATCAACAAAGGCACAGAACATCAAGCAATTTGTCTACCCAATGACCACATACAATACTTGTCAAGTGCACTGGGAATATCCACCAGGACAGACCATATATCTAGGCCATAAAACAAATCCGCATAAATTTACAAAATTTATGTATGTAAGAAATCATACAAAGGTGGTTCTCTGAGCAACAGAATTGAATAGAAATTAATGACAGAAAGAAATCTGGGAGATTTCCAAACATTTCAAAATTTAAAACAACACACTTCTAAATAATACAAAGAAGAAATTACAAGAGAAATTAGAAAATATTTTGAATTAAATACAAGTGAAAACAAAACACATCAAAACTTACAAGATGCTGCTAAAGCAGTGCTTCAAGAAAAAATTATGGCTTTAAATGCCTATATTAGACAAGAAGAAAGACTTCAAATCAATAACCTAAGCTTTCACCATAGTTAACCAGAAAAAGAAGACCAAGTGAAATCCACAGTAAGCAGAAGAACGGATATAATAAAGATCATAACAGAAATCTATGATATGGAAAAAAACACATACGTGCACAGAGAAAAATCAATAAAGCCAAACTTTGTTCTTTGAAAAGATCAATAGAATTGACAGATCTTAAGTAGACTATACAGGAAAATAAAAAAGAGGAAAAACCAATTACCAAATCAGGAAGCAAAAAAGAAATCGCTGGAGCACTGGGGTGGCTCAGTCGATTAAACATTTGGCTCTTAATCTAAGCTCAATTCTTGATCTCAGGGTTGTGAGTTCAAGCCCTGCATTGGCCTCCATGCTGGGCTTGGAGCCTACTTAAAATTAAAAAAAAAAAAAAGAAAGAAAAAGAAAAAGAAAAAGAAAAAGAAAAAAAAAAAAGGAATCACTACAGACTCAACTAAAGTTAAAAGGATTATAAGAAAATATTATGAACACATTGGTTCTAACAAATTAAACAACATACATAAAATGGAAAAATTCCTAGAAAGCCACAAACCACCAAAATTGATTTGAAAAGGAATCTATAAAGTGAATAAACCTGCAGTAAGTCAAGAAATTGAATTGTTAGCTAAAATCTTTCCAACCAGGAAAAGCCCAGGCCCACATTGCTTTACTGGTGAGATATATCAAGAATTAAAGGAAAATATAATACCAGCCCCTCACAAAGTAATTCAAAAAATTTGAGAAAGCATGATCTTTCCAACAAATAATGCTGGGATAAAATACAG